GGGAAAGGGGGAAAAATTGAGACAACTATAGTAGTATAATCAATGAAATATAATTTAAAAAATAGTAATAGAGTGGATGAAAGGAAAAAAGTATATATGAAATGCTGCTCATTGCATTTAGTGCATAGTGTGCTCCTCTAAAGAAAATAATAATAGATTTTGCTATAGATAGTTCCAATGAAAACAGAAAGAAGAGCAGAAAATCTATTAAGGACTTATATATAGGGATAGGCCTTAGTGGTTGATTTCTTGTATGGAGTAGAAAACAGAGGGAGAGGTCAGTAATGGCACTTGGGTATCTGATTTTTGAGCAAGAGAAATGTAGACATTCATGGAATTAGGGGCAAGAGTGAGGGTTTTGGGGGTTTTTTTGTTTGTTTTTCATTTTTGGTATTTTGTTTTTGCTTTGTTTGAATGTAGTATTGCAACTAGGAGACATGGCACTTGGTCCTGGGCATTTGGAATTTAACAAGTTCTTGGGACACCCAAGATACCCAAAGACTGTTGACTATTTGGGTCCTAATCTGAGCAGAGAGATATTTGAGTTCCTTCCTTCCTTCCTTCCTCCCTCCCTCCCTTCCTCCCTTCTTTCTTTGCTTTCTCTTTGCCTAAGTAGTTCTTCAATTCATTTGAAAGATTTACAAATTCCAGACCTATAGTTTAGACCAGTGATTTTTCAACCTTTTTCATCTCATGGCACATATAAATTAGTTACTGAAATTCTGTGGCACAGCCTAAAATATGTTTTTCGAATCTGACCAAAAAAATAGGTAAAATTTTGATTTATTTACCTAGGACAGCTATTGTGATGTTGGCTGTTGTCATTTTTTTATTTGACAATCTAAGGGAAAAGAGATCAGTGCCCCTGACTAAATAGTCAGGTATTGCATGTTTTAAAAATACTCATGGCACACCAATTGAAAATCACTGGTTTAGACTCTGGAGTGTCTCTGTCCCTCCTTTTAAATTATTTATTCACTCAACACATATCAAACACCTACTATGTATTAGGGACTATGCATGACACTAGAGAAACAGTATGCAAAACAGATGTGATCCTCACCCTTGTGATGCTCAACTGAAAGAGACACTAAAATGAGTCAAAATTCAGCATCTGTGCCCTGGCTGGTGTAGGTCAGTGGATTGAGCACCAGGCTGTGAACTAAAGGGTCCCTGGTTCAATTCCCTATCAGGGCACATGGCCGGGCTGAGGGCCAGGTCCCCAGTTTGAGAATGTGAGAGGCAACTGGTCAATGCATCTCTCACACATCAGTGTTTCTCTCCCTGTCTTTCTCCCTCCTTTCCCATCACTCTAAAAATAAATAAATAAAATCTTGTTTTTAGATTCAGCATTTGTAGTTCTTAAGTAAAGTTTTGTCAACATAGAGAAGTGGCATATACTTTTAAACTTTCCAAAGTTTTTTTTCTTGTTCTAGGTTTAAACTTTATTATTATAGAAAAAAACTTTATTTACATCCTATAATGTTTCTTGCTTTGAATTCTACATTGTTGTACGATAATATGCTACCTCAAATTTTTTCACTTGCTGTCATAGTTTTGGCCATTTCTAAGTTTTATCTCTTCTAACATGTGAGTTAGTATTCCAATTTACTTAATTTTTTATTTTTAAAATTGATATTAAAAAACATAACATAAAATTTACCATCATAATCCTTTTTAATTTGCAGTTCAGTTGTGTCAACTAGATTCACATTGTTGTGCGACAGGTCTCTAGAACACTTTCATCTTGTAAAACTGAACCTCTGTACCCATTGAACAACAACTCCCTATCTCCCACTCATCCCAGCCCTTGGCAACCACAATTCTTTTGGTTTCTATGAGTTTGACTATGTTAGGTATCTCATATCAGTAGAATCAGATAGTATTTGTCTTTTTAGCACTAGCTTATTTCACTTAGCATAATGCCCTCGAGGTTCTTGCATGTTGAGCATATGACAGGATTTTCCCCTTTTTTTAAGGCTCAACAATATTCCATTGCATGTACAAGGCAGGGACCCAAAAACCTGGAATTATCTTCTCTAGGCAGTCCCCATGCGTCCCTGCTAGGTGAGTGTTCTAGGAACCCCTCTGTATCTGTGTACCAGCTGGCGTTTTTGTGAGAAGCTATGCTGGGCTTCAGTGATTTTTTTTAAAGAGTCTTCCAATGTGTTTGCCCATTTCATGATGGGTGATTTATGAGCGCATCTGCCCACACTGAGTTGAGCGTTCAGCAGTTTTTGACCAAAAAAGGCATAACCCCCCTGCCCCAACCTCCCTATTCACCAAATCTCACCTGGAGTGACTTTTTTTATTTCCCCTGATGAAAAAAGTCCTCAAGGGGAAATGTTTTGCCAATGTGGAAGAGGAGAAAACAAAAAAAATGGCAGAAGTACTAAAAGGCATGAAAATCAATGAGTTCAAAAACTGTTTTGAGCAGTAAAAAAAACATCGTGATAGGTGTATTGCATCAAATGGAGAGCACTTTGAAGGTTATTAAAGTTTAGACACAGAAGAATACATACACAATTTTTAATAAATAAATTCTATTTGGGGGGATATCCCCCCTTGTATACCACATTTTCCTTATCCATCCATCCTTTGATGGACATTTGGGTTGAGGAAGTGATTGTGAATAACGTGAAGGATGTGAATGTGAGTACCTCTAGGCTATTGTGAATAGCGTTGCAATGGCCGTGGGGGTGCCTCCAGGGTACTTTCACTTTGGCTGTGGACATTAATCCATCCCCATGTCTGAAAATGGTTCTTAATCGTAACTAAGAATGGCAGGCTTGAGCTGGCAGGGAGGGAATAGTGGGCCACTTCCGGTCGGGATCCCATCCCTGGATGTCCCAGGCACAGCAGGATGAAGGAGAAATACCCTGAATCACTCAGAGGAGAGAGTTCCCTGTCTGAAAGATTATACGCCTGCCATGTGCAGGACAGCATGCTCGGCACTTTCATATATGAGGAGGGAGAAATGTGGGAGGTTTCTTGAATTAAAAAAAAAAATCACGATATTTTTTTCAAATTTCTGTGATTATAAATAATAATGAAAACACTGATCACCAATGTCAGGAACAGGCTCAGCAGGGGAAAATATGAGAACCTTTGTGTGGAGGTGGTTTGTGTAATTTGAAAAGAGAGTTCACTGTGAAAAGAATACATTCAAATTTCAAACATAATTCAAACTACTGAGATTTAAGCTTAACAACTTTTTCCCCTGACCCAGTAGTGGGTTATGGGTTACGTTAGTATGGAAAGTCAGTCTGTGCACCTGATGCTACGGAGACCCATCTCTCAAAGGATGCAAAAGCCCCTGCCAGGGTTCTAACCCGATGTTCTTTACTCTCTAGGTTGTTGATTAAATCAATCGTTTCTGCTGAAAGCGACTCTTTAAAAACTTCAGTTTCAGTTGGGGGCCCCAGAGTCTGTACCGGGGCTCCCTCGACGTGCCTGCAGATGGCACTCCTAATAAAATTAGTTCATACGCAGAAGTCAAGACCCACTCTGAGCTTCTCGACTAGGACATACACTTTCAAGGAGAAAAAGGAAAACCATTGCAAACCTGAAGCACTTAAGCTTTCACTGAATTCTCTTAGGCCATCGTTTCAGTCCTTAGAGACTACTTGGTACTTGACTAGAGCTTTGTAACCATAGCCAATATGTTTATTTTATGGTAAAAGGAAGCAGAGAAGGTGCCAGTCTGAGAGTTGGAGATGGGTCCTAGTTCCAGCTTGGCCACTAAGCAGCTGGGTGGCTTTAGACATGTGCCTTCCCCTCTTGGGTATGGGCCTCCTTTCTGTAAATTCCCACCGCACTCAGACTGGAAGCTCCATTCATTTCAGCTCGAATGTTCTGTGAATTAATGATAATATCACTTGACCCTTTTATCCATTCTACTTTTTATTTGGCATTTGTTCATTTGATACATATATACATATATAAAAATCTGTACATGGTAAAAATACAAAATAAGTATTTCTTTATAAGTTATGCAATTAAAGGGCTACCTTTTTAAAGTTTAAAAACCATTGCAAAAAAAGAGAGAAGGAACTCTAGTCAGTCCTTTAGAGTCATTCGCAATAACCTTGGTATAAAATATCCATACAACATATGTGTACAAAATAGTGTACAGTTCATAAAAGCTGTGCAAAGACAGCAAAGTTCAGTACAAAAAAAATCAAAGAGGCTTGTGGGGTCTCTCTGTTCACATCAGGCCCAGTGGTCAGGAGCTTTGCAGGTCAGCAAAACCTCCCAAGAAACTAAAAAAAAAGGAGGGGGCACAAGGTAGAGTGCTTGGTGCATATACTATGGATGCAGAAATTTTTTTTTAAACAGCTTTATCACACACATACAGAAATAGATGGACTCTTCCTCCCATTTAGAGAACTCATTTCTTTGCCCAGAGAGCATTTTGAATATGACAGAAAAGACTCAGTTTTTTATGTTGCACCTTAAACCAGAAGGCACAGATATTGTTTCTTTTTCGAAGTTCTTGAGCTTTTTAAGGTCACTGTTATCTGAAGACTGGGTTAGCAGAGACTAGAGAGGTACCTAAGGTAGGAGGAGGCGGGATCTAGGAAGTCAGGGGTCTTGGAATTATAAGCTGTTGTAGCTGCTAGGCAGGTTTCCTCTTCCATTCAGGGTTTCCTACCTTAGAGGGTTGTCCCTGCTAAGGACGAGCAGGGCCTGGCTCACAGTTAAACGCAGGCTGTGGGAGTGAACACCCCATTGTGTTTAAAATAGCTTGCAATAAAGAAGATGGACAGGAGCCCTCGAGAAAAAGTTAAGACTAAAAGCAAGACCTACATTTAACTTCTGCGGAGAGGGCTGTTGAGAGGTGGTGCGGGGGAAGGAAATGTTCCTTTGGGCAACGGAAGGGGCTGGGGCGCCCCTGACCAGGTGACGAGTCCGCAGCGGGAGCTACGTGAACGCTAGACCCGACCCAACCTCTTCAATTTCAAAGCACTTGGAAACAGTACCCTGGGCGCGGGAGGCTTCTAAGACACCGTGATCTCCTCCTCCTCGCCCTCCTCATCCTCCTCGGAGTCGGAGAAGTCCGAAGGTTTGCCTGGGCTGCTCGAGTGCGCTGGTGAAGGGGGTGGCGGCCCTTGTAGCCGCGGGTCCCGCAGGTGCCGAGAGTCGGGGGGCGTGTGATAGGCTGTGCGGTGGCGAGGGCTGCCTGGACCCTCGTCTTCCTCCTCGTCGTCCCCCTGGCCCTTCTGGCCCACGTCGCTGAGGTCGGGGTGCGGATTGAGTTTGGTGGGAAGGGTCTGCTCGCGGCAACCCCCGCTAGACAGGAGTTCGCGCTCCTTGGAGTTCCGCCACTTCATGCGTCGGTTCTGGAACCAGATTTTCACCTGGTACGTGAGGGGCAGAGAGCAGGGGAGACACAGAGGTCAGCGCGGATCCTTCCTCAAAGATGGCGTGGGGCAGGGGCGCGGGCAGGTGAGAGGAGGGGATCGCCTTGCCTCTTCCCCTCCCCTTGAGGGTAGGTCCTCAGCACTAAACCTACCCTCACCCCCGCCTCTGCTCCTTGCGCCTCTCCACCCAACGTGTCTGCTACCTGGTCCCAGGTGGACAGGGGTGGAGGCGCTGAGCACAAGGGAGACGGGGCGGGGAGAGAAGTGGGCTGTCCAGCGCAGCCTCGAGAAAACCGCATCCTGCATTCCTAATCGTGCGATCGTAGGGGAGGGGCGCAGCGCGTGGAGAGGGGAGGGCTGTCGGGAGACGGCTCTCACCTGTGAGTCTTTCAAGCCCAACTTGGCTGCCAGCTTCTTGCGGTCGGGCTTGCTGATGTACTTCTGCTTCTGGAACATCTTCTCCAGCGCCTTGCGCTGCACGTCGGAGAACACGGCGCGGCGCAGCATGCCCCGGCGAGGCTTGCCCCGGGCGGCCAGAGGCCAGGAGAAGGTCCCCGGGATGGGCACGACGCTGGAGGACGCTGCGGAGGGGTGCGGGTGGGAGGCGGGGTGGGAGGTTGCGAGTGAGTGGGTGGTGCCCAGCCCCGGAGGTAGCGTCCGCCTCCCTAGCGCCACCTCCTCCGTTCTTTCTCTCTGATCCCTTCATCTCTTTTAAGCTCGCCGTTTTCTCCCCCGGGAGAATAGGCCGCGAACCTACGAACCTTCAGAGTGAAAGGCGCTTTCCGCCCAAATAACTCTCCCTTTCAACCGTGCAAACTCGGATTAGGTAAAACCACGGAAACGCAGAAAACAGCTCCCACAATAGCCTGTTTTCGTTTTTCCATTCAGCAGTCTCAGGGAGACAAACCTGCGTACATCAGCTAAAATAGCAACAAAAATAAATTAAAAATATCCAGCGGAGACCACTGGGTTGAGCTTTTATCACCTAGGTGGCTTTTGCATTCTTTGGATGAGTGAAGTGCTTTGCTGATTTGGTAGCGAGGAGAAAAATCCTCTTTGGGGTTTTTTGTGGTTTTGTTTTTTTTTTGAAAAATTCAATCAGTATTCATCTTTTTTTTTAAAAAAAATTAATCTTTCCTCCCCTCCCCCACAAAACGTAAAGAATTTGGCCGAATACATGAAAAGTGGCAGCTAATTAGCACATTGACCGCTTCCCAATGGGTATTGGCATGATAAAAAGGGGGAAAGTTTCGCTTTAAGGGAGGGGGAAAAAAACCAAAAGGAAACAGAGACTCTAATGAAGCGTGAATGGTAATTGTGTAGTAATGAACTAACAGAAAAAGACTGAGGACAAGCAGCGAAAGCCATATATTACTGGGACAAAAGAGATTTACACTTTCAAACTAAACACAACTGCAGGCCAAGACCATTGGGAGAATACTGATGGCAGAGGCTTCTCTTCCCCGAATCATTTTCATTAAATGGACATGAAAAGCTATTTATAAAGCTCGGGTTGTTTTTGTTAGTGCATTGAGATGAGAGAGAAAGGGAGCAAATTCCATTATCAGCAGCAGCATGAATGGTGGGGGGGGGTTGGTGAATTCTCTCTCCCCCTTTTAAAAATCAATCGCTTGTTTCTTTCGCTGATATTTGGCAGCGCTGTCCTGGTTTTACCCATCCCCCACAGGCCGTGCCCAGTCTCTTTTCTCTTTACAGGGCCTCCTCTTTCGCCTCCTGAGTCTGGACCAGTAGCAGAGTTTCTGAGCCACCACCGGGACTCCAGAATGAAAACCTCGTGGAACCTGTTTAAGGTGTTTCTCCTGGAGACTAGGAACCAGTTATAGGCTTCTCTCCTACTTATTTTACCAGCTCAGTGGTCCTTCAAAAACTCTGTTGGTGGGGGGAGGGTAAGAGGAGAGTTTGGGAGTCAGGTTGGGAAAAGAAGGCTGGGGCTGTGGGAGGATCTATTCTCCCTCCCCCAGGGCGACCCCAGGAATCCCACACAAGAGGGCACCCCATGTGGTCTTGTGAAAAGCCCGAAGCCCTGAATGAGTCTTAAAGAGAAATTAGCCCCGGCTGGTAGGTGTCTCTGGACGGCGTGGAGGGGCGAGGGCCGGCCTGTGTGTGGCTGCCCGGAGGAGCTGACCAATTGGTCATGGTGCTGAAACCTTTGTGGGGGAATCGTGGCCAAGTGCACTGACTCTGTGGGAAAACGGCGGCGTGAAGGGATGCCAACAGCTCCTCGCCGGGAAGGGAACCGCCTCAAATTGGGACCATGACAATTCCTGCTAATTTGTAGAGCAGGGAATTGGTGCAAAGTGTCAAGTAGTCACTGCTTGTGCTAAATAGGGCATCAAATTGGCGCGACGGATTCGTGAATGTTGTACGCCTCGCAACCTCTGAACCAGAGCATAACCCCGAGGGGTGGACGGAGAAATATGGCTTCGCGACGTGCTGGGACTGGGGCGCGCCCAGCCTCTGGAGAGGGACGGGGATGAAACCTACCTGGGAAATACGAAGATCGGATGAAAGGCTGGAAGGAGCCTTCAAAGTAGGGAAAGGCGAAAGTCTTGGGAGGGACACTCTGGAGCAAGGCGGGGGATGCTTCTGGAAGAGAGTGAAGGAGGGAGGAAAAGAGGGAGAGAGACAAAGGAAATTTGGTTATTATGAACTTGATTATTGTTCTGCACATTGAATACATGATATGAGTATATAAATGAAATCCTTCCCCCCACAAATAGTCCTCAGAGTCGACCCCCCCGCCCCCGCCTCCCCATCCCCAATCTCATTCTAGGCACCAACGAGACAGGAAGGAATCAGGCGCAGAAGAAAAGAACTGCAGATCCATAAGACTAGCGAAGCTAGTAAATATATAGCCTTGGGTTTTAAAAAACTGACACTCAGAGGCTGGAGGGCAGAAACGCAAACGCCCAGTAGCGTGCGCTCTGTTTAGCTGTGCTAGGGAGCTGTGCGCTCGCTGCTACTGAACTGCTCCAGTTCATTCCGAGGGTGGAGCGAACCTGGAGCCTTTTCTTTCCCGGAATCCGGGAAACCTAAGTCTCACATTGCGCGACGTGAGATCTCCGGGATAGTGCGTACATGTGTGCATACAATATTTGCGTCGCTACCAGCTGCATACACGAAATCGAGGCAAGAACTCCGCACCTGGACCGATCCTCAGCGTTTTGCGCTTACTTACCGTTTCTGGGCGCCGAGGAGAGAATGGCGTTCACCCCAAACTTCAGAAACGTGGGCTCGTTGGCAGGGGAGACAGCAGTCTGCGGTGATCCACCCCGCCGGCTTCCCGGACCTGGACTCCCCAGGTCTGAGGTCCCGGTGTCTGTCAGATTCGTGGGGGCCCCCTGCCTAGGGGGCGACATGCTGGCCGTGGGTACGCTGCGAGGCAGGTAGGCTGGGGGGCGGCTGATGCGGATCAGATCCTCGACCAGGAAGCTCGACTGCCCGGAAAATGCCGACTGCAGGGACTGGGGCAGCGTTAAGGTGGGTGTGGGGCGCAGGAGGCTGGGGTACCCGGCGGGGGGCGCGAGGAGGCCGGGGAACATCATGTTAGGCGTGGGGCGGGCGTAATAACCCTTCTTCCAGTGGCCGAAGGGTAAATGCCTCGCTTCCCGCCCCTCCCGCCCCCGCGGTGCCCTCTCTCTTGGGCTTAGCAAACGTCTCCAAGTAACAAACGCTCCCACTTGGGCGCCTGCGAGTCCTCCGTAGTCCTCCCGTCGAGGTGATGGTTTTATAGTGGCCCGCCCGTTAAAGCGCTTTGAAAAGTGACAGCTCTGACAATGAAGTTCAACAAAGTTCTCCACTCGAGCTTCATTCGCCAGAGGCTCTGGGCGCTCTGATTGGCGCAGGGGTGCAATTTATGATTGGATTAGTCTTCATAAGCATCGCCCGCACAATGGGCCGGCAACAAAGGCTGGCGCGCATCAGTTCTGCATATCGACTGCCTCTTTGCAATACAGTGCATCCCCAAAGCTCTTGCCGAGAGTTTTTGTTCCGAAGCAACACCCGGGCTAATTAAATGCCTATTTAGAAGTTTCAGATGACATCTTGCCTCATAGAAAAGGAATTATTTAAAGAACGCACTAAATTTATTTGCAGCTCCCCTGCTGAGCCTAGAAAATAAATCAATAAATATTCATAGAAATTCATCTCCAGGCAATGAGTAACATAACCCTCCCTCTTCTGGAGGAGGGCAATGGAAAAATTTAAGTCAATGAAAATGAAAATATACTCCCTCTTCCGCCTCTAGTCCTATGTTACTGCAGCTGAGGCATAAAGCAGATATGAGGTAGGTTAAGTCAGTGTGCATTTGGAAGGGGTGCCACTCTAACAACTCAGGGGGACTTTAAAGTGATGCTTTGAGGTTACTGGATGTTCATCCATAGGGGTGAAGGGGAGAGGTCTTGATTTGTTATTTCATTATGGGAAACTGGTTGAGTTCGAGTGAGCTAGTGATACCTGAACAGTAGAATGAGTCTCCTTATGTAAACTCCCAGCAACTTGAAAAAATGACTTCAGCCACATTTATCTAAGGAGTGCCACCAGCTAGTGTTCCCCCAACTCATCTGTGGTCAGAGCCGAGGGGAGCATCTCCCTGGGGCAAAGCAGTGAGTTTCGACTTGCAAAGGGCTTACTCCTGCTGGAAGTTGCCTCGCACAAGGCGACCAGAATGCAGTGAGTGCTCTGCGGCAGTTTTCCAATCTCAAGGAGCCTTAGGCACTTTCAGTGGAAACTCGCACGCCCCCTGAACTTTTAAATCCATAGTAGTGAAGTTTGGGATTTGCCGGGAGAGAGCTCTACCTACCTACCCAATGCGGGGCACTTAACTTGGTCAAGATTTTGCAACATCTTAACTGCAAAGTACAAACGCCTAAAAATAGAGTGAAGGACATGATTCCCAAGGATGTTGGTCCACATTGGAAAAGCCTATCCTTGATTCAGGGACTCAGACAAGAATATTCCTGCAGAAAGCTTTTCCCTGTCCTCTGGGTTGTGGCTGGGGTGTTGCTGAGCCCCGATTCCCCTGTTTCTCTGCTCTGCAAGATAACAGATGTGTTAAATGTCCCATTCACGTCTTTAGTGTGGCTGAACCTCCCCAAAGAAAAGTGTGCAGCCCTGCCAGGCCTCCCTGATCCTATTAACCATGAACTAACTGTCACCTTCAGCTGGTTTTCCTTTTTGCTTTTTAACACAAAGCTTTCTCAAAAATCTTATTAACCAGCTTTATTTCTCTGGATGGTTTTGTTCAGGGCGTTTTTTTGTTGATGATCTCCATGTCGCTGCTTTAACCATTCAATAAAAGTGCATCTGCGATTTATATCACATTAAGCCAGAAACAGAGCCTGCTAAAGCTCTCCCTTGATTCAAATTAAAAAGTTATTTAGGGGCGGGTTCTGGAGCCGAATTAATGCTCGGAGATGACACAAGTATGGCGTGTCTTCGCCCAGGACTGCTTTTGGAAGCGTACTTGGTGGCAGGCAGTGGAAAACCCCTAAGGAAAGAAACTTTTAAATGTGACTATTTAGATATGCAAAGTGCGTGGCTCAAATTCACTGGAGACCCAGGAAAATGGAAGAGGGAGGTCTGTGAAGAACTTCAAAAGTTACTTGTTTTGAAGTTTTCTGGTAAAGTATGGGACGAAAGTCTACACCATTTGAACACCTGTGCTTTAACTTTGCCACAAGACAGTTTTCCATCACAATCACCACCTCCCTCCTCAACTGCTTTCTGGAAGCTGGGTGCTCGGCTCTGTTTTTGGTGGTGGGTTTGTTTGTTTCTTTTGGGTTTTGTTGTTGGTTCTTGGTTTTGTTTTTGTTTTGGTATTCTCTCCTTCTTTTCTCCTTCACCCCAGCCTCTTCTCTTTTTCCTTTCCCTCCCTCCTTCCACCCATCGCTCCTTTCCTTCCTCCCTCTCTCCCCGCCAGGAGCAGTTGCCAGTTCCCGGAAGGGGGAGGGCAGCGACTACAGGTGTTAGGTTTCTCCTTGAAGAGGCGCTTGCCTGATCTTTGGAAGGTCGGCATGGAGCCTGTGTTTGCAGATTTTTGTTTGGGGAGCAGTAAGAACTCAAAGCCAGTCTGGGGCCTCCCTGGCGCCCCCCTTCCCTGGGCCTCTTCTCCTGCTGGGGCATTTTCCAGGGAGCAGCTATTACAGTTATTATCCTGCCCACTGACACGCTCCAACATCCCCCCCACCCAACACACACGCGCGCGCGCGCACACACACACACACACACACACACACACACGGCCATTCTGCCTCATTATAGACTAACTGCTGCTATCTTCTCTTTTAAAAGGGGGCGCTGACATTTTTTGGAATGTGGGTCAACCCCTTGCTGCGACCCACGTGGACCCCACTTGCGGCGGTCCATAAGCAGTCCTACGGCGCCAAAGAGGAAAAGCGAGGGCGGGGGAGAGGGCTGGCCACCCGTGAAAAGGCAAAATAAATCCTAAGGAAGCAAGAAATCGGACGAAAGGATCTTACTTTACGTGATCTTGAACGCGTCTTTTGAAACTCCGGGATAGCCTAAGGCGCTGCGCGGCGCGGCGGCTGGGCTAAGACCTGTGACTAATGCCGTTTGACCTGAGCCCATGGGCTTTTGTGCGCCCTTCCATTCATTGTAACGTCGTTATCTTCGAGTTTATTTCGGAGAAGTCACTCACACCCTCTACCCCAAAGCTGGGCTTTCTGTTTGTTTCTCTTTTAAGGGGAGAGAAGGCAGGAGGGGGAAAAAGAGAATCCGAGGCCCCTGTTCGGATCCCAGCCAGCGCCGGGAGCGCGGCTGCTGAGCGACGAAGGCCGCGGCAGAGCTGGCTGGGCCTCCTGGGGTCTTCCTGGACCCGTAGGAGCGGCTCTCAGAATCCGTTCTGGGGGGCCCTTCCCCCCCCCCCCCGGGCAACAGAGAGTGGGAGGGTCCCAGCACAATGAGCAGCGCTTTCTCTGCTCGCAGGACCCTCCGGTGTGGGCCGAGCCGGGAGCGCCCCGGGTAAGCGCAGGCCACGGAGGGAGGCCAAGGGCTCTGCAAAGCCGAAAGCCGCTGGAGATTCTCGGTCCTCCGAAAAAATAACGGGATTCCGTTAGAGAGGGTTTGGGACCCTAAGGTCGCACTGTGCAAGAGATCGAACCCTCAGGCCATGGCTCTGAGAGCTGACTGGAGCTGCCAACGGTGGGAGAGGATATTGCGTTTGGCAGGACGCCGGGCCGCGGCGTCGGGAAGAAGCACCGCCGCCTGGCTTCTGCGGCCAGGGGGAAAAAAGAGAGAGCTGACCAGCTAGGCGAGGGAGGAGGGCGCGAAGCTTGTGCTGAAAGAGCTTTCCTACCGCCCCAGCCCTCTAGACGAGCCGCTCTATTAAGACACCTCTAAGGGGTTCACCTTTAGAATAGGCCACAAGGAGCTACCGCCGCCCCAGCCCTTTCTAGCGTCTCCCTCCACCCCTCATTCCTTTCACACTCCCTCTCCCCCCACCCTTTCCTTGAAAATCCTTCTATTGTGCCAATCAAGCAGATGGTTTGCAGGAAATATAGCTTGGCCTCGCTGACCGAAACTAATTTTAACTAGCTTTCCAAGCCTGAAACGTTTGTTTTGCTCTTACAAAATAGCCCCCAAAACAGCTGGCAAGGGTGAATTAAACCCATTAAAGACACATTTATAAGAAATTATATTCACATAGATTGCCTGAACCCCCTTGTGCAGCCTAAGAGGGGAGATGAGCGCATTTAAATGAAAATGTCCCCGAACGCTCCCCTCCTTAACGTAGCCTGAAAGTCTCAAAACATTTTACTAAATAGATTAACTTGACTATTGTCTTGCATCACATTTATCAGCTTCATTAAGTGAATAGCTGAACAAATATATTACACATGCCTGAAAAGCTCTTTTTCGAGGAGCCTCATTGTATCCTCAGCCCTGACAGGTGGTTAACTGTGTGTTGTGTTTTTTTGTGGGTTTTTTGTGTTTTCTTTCTCTTTCTTTCTTTCTTTCTTTTTTTTTTCAACCCGAAGAAAGAGGATCTCTGTAGAGCAGCGTGGAGCGCAGCGCCTCCTTGGCAGGAGTTTAACTCACTGGCTGGACCCAGCGGCCCAGAGATTTTAACATCCTGAGATGTTGGCAGAGGCGGTCTAAACCCATTCAAAATAATCAAAACTAAATTTTGGTGAGCCAGGCCTTGAGTGTTTTTTCTCTCCATCACCCTCCCCCCCTTGTCTGGGAAATTTGCATCTTTTCAAATGCTGATGTTTCTCTGCCTCTCTTTCTCTCTCTCCCTCTCTCCTGAAATAAAAGTTGCCTTTGTTTTTCCTTAATTCTCCGAAGACTGTGGGGTGAGATGTCCTTTAAACTCAGGTTTGGATTCATTTCAATTTACTGTGTCTTTAGGGAAAGTCCTTGTCTCCTGGGCCTCTGTGTCCCTGTGAGGAAAAGGAGGGATTGCCCTAGGGAGAGATCGAAGAGCCCTTTCAGTTCTGACCTTTTAGGGTTTCAAAACTCTCAGCTCTCTGGCGCCCCACCGCGGGCCCCCGAAGCTCCCAGCCTGTGGCCTGGGCTGGACCAC